AGCTGATTGGTCAGTAAGTCCTGGTGGGCATTTCCAAACTATTATTTTGTGAGTCCTTGTTTAAGCAAAGGTAGGGATTTTCAAACAAAAAAGTCTTCAAAGTTTTTAAAGTTTAATGTGTTCAGTCAAAAAAAAACTAGCTGTTAAATGGGCAGAAATGGCACTCAGTGGAGTGGTGTGGTCCTCCTGTCAAATGTAGGAGATCAGGGAGCAGTCAAGTGTCTCTAGTGACTACGTCTGCCGGAAGTGTGATTGGCTGCAGCTCCTCTCAGACAGTATGAAATCGTTTGGAGCGGCAGTTGGATGCTTTGAGGAGAATACAGGAGCCAGAGAGTGTGATAGATAGTAGCTTCAGGGAGGTGGTCACATCGCAGGTTCAGTCAGGTAGATGAATGACCACCAGGAGCAGTAGGCTGGTAATGCAGGAGTATCCTGTGGCTATTCCCCTCTCAAACAAGTTTACCGTTTTGGATTCTGTTGGCGGGGGAAATGGCAGCAACAGCCAGGCCTGTGGCACCACGACTGGCTCTGCTGTAAAGCAGGGTATGCAAAGTCCAAGAGATTGGTTGTGATAGGGGGCTTTCTAGTCAGGGGCACAAACTGTTGTTTCTGTGGCCACCAGTGAAACTCCAGGGTTGCATCCCTGGTGCCAGGGACAAGGACATCTCAGAGATTTGCAGCTAGTTCTCAAAGAGGAGCATAAGCAGCCAAAGATCACTGTACACATTGGTACCAACGACATAGGCAGAAAAAGGGATGAGGGCCTGCAGAGTCAATATAAGGAGTTAGGCAGGAAGTTTAAAAGCAGGACCTCAAGGGTAGTATAGTCTCTGGTTTACTCCTGGTGCCATGTGCTAGTGAGAGTAGGAATAGGGGGACAAGGCACATGAATGCATTGCTGAAGAGATGGTACAGGGGCATAGATTCAGGTTTTTGGATCATTGGGATGTCTTCTGGGCAGAGGTGACCTGTACAAGAGGGACAGGTTGCACCTGAACTGGAGGGGGAACCAACATCCTGGTGGGGAATATTTAAACTAGTCTGGCAAGTGGTTGGGACTCTAAACAGTAGTGAGAGAAAAGAGAACGTTGAGGCTGGTACAGAAGTTAAAGAGGCAAGTTAAACAGACAAGGCAGGCAAGATCATGACAGGGAACAAGGGAAGACTGATGCATTAAACTGCATTTATTGCAATGCAAGAGGCAGATGAACTCGGCATGGATGGGAAAATGGGACTGGGACATCATCACAGGACTGGTAGCTCACTGTTCCCGGGTACTGATCCCATAGGATGGATAGAAGGGGAGGCAAGAGGGAAGGGGGAGAGGCGTTTTTGATTAGGAAAACATCACAGCAGTACTTAGAGAGGATATTCCTGAGGGATCATCCAGTGAAACTATATGAGTGGAACTGAGAAATAAGAAGGGGTGATCAATTTGATGGAATTGTACCATACTCCCCTCCAGTTGTCAGCTGAAAATTGAAGAGCAAATATGTAGACAGATTGCAGATTTCTGTAAAAATAGTAGAGTTGTAACAGTAAGGGATTTTAACATTCCAAACATTGACTGGGGCTGTCATAGTGTTAAGGACTCGGATGGTGAGGAATTTATTAAGTGTGTTCAGGAAAGCTTTCTCAATCAATATATAGATGGCCTTACTAAAAGAGGGGTAAAACTCAACCTCCTCTTGGGAAATAAGGCAGGGCAAGTGACTGAGGCGTTGGAGGGAGATCACGTTGGGACGAGTGACCATAATTATATTAGTTTTAAAATAATTATGGAAAAGAATAGATCTGGTCCACAAGTTAAAGTTCTAAATTGAGGCAAGGCTAACTTTGATGGTCTTGGATAGGAACTTCCAGAAGTTTGACTGGGGGAAGCTGTTTGCAGGTAAAGGGATGCCTGGCAAGTAGGAGGCTTTCAGAAGCAAGATAATGAGAATTCAGGGACGGCATGTTCCTGTTAGTGTGAAGGGCAAGGCTGACAAGAATAGGCATGACCAGAGGTATTGAGGACCTGGCCAAGAAAACGGAAAAGGCATATATCAGTAATAGACAGATGGGATCAACAGAATCCCTTGAGGATTGTAGGGGTGTAGGAGTACACTTAAGAGGGAAATCTCTTAAAAAGGGGACACGAGATAGCTTTGGCAGATAGGGTAAAAGAGAATCCAAAGAGATTGTACAAGTATATTAAGGGCAAAAGAGTAACTAGGGAGAGAATAGGGCCCCTTAAAAATCAGTAAGGCCACTTATTATGGAGCCACAGGAGATTGGTGAGATCCTAAATAAATACTTCTTGTCAGTATTTACCGTGGAGAAAGACATGGAAACTGGGGAACTCGGGGAAGTAAATAATGATGTCTTGAAAAGAGTCCACATTATAGAACAGGAGGCACTCGAGGTTTTAAAATGCATATAAGTAAATAAATCTCCAGGTCCTGATCCAATGTATCCCAGGACATTGTGGGAAGCTAGAGAAGAAATTGCAGGGCCCCTAGCAGAGATATTGGTATTATTGACAGCCACAGGTGAGGTGCTGAAAGACTGGAGGGTAGCTAGTATTGTGCATTTATTTAAGAAAGGCTGCAAGGAAAAGTGAGGGAACTACAGATCTGTGAGCCTAACATCAGTGGTGAGTAAGTTATTGAAGCTGATTCTGAGAGATTGGATCTATATGCATCTATATGCAAGGACTGATTAGGAATAGTCAGCATGGCTTTGTGCTTGGGAAATTGTGTCTCCCAAATTTGAGTTTTTTGAAGAGGTGATCAAGAAGATAAATGAGGAAAGAGTGGTAGATGTTGTCTACATGGACTTCAGCAAGGAGTTTGATAAGGTGCCACATGGTAGACTGGTTATTAAAGTTAGATCACATAGGATCCAGGGAGAACCAGCCAATTGGATACAAAATTGTCTTGATGTAGGAGACAGTGTGGTGGTAGAGGGCTGTTGTTCTGACTGGAGGCCTATGACCAGTGGTGATAGGTACACTGTTGTTCATCATGTATATAAATGATTTGGATAAGAATACAGGAGACACAGTTAGTAAGTTTGCGAATGACACCAAAATTGGTGGTACAATGGATCAGGAAGAAGGCTATCTCAGAGTACAACGCCATCTTGATCAGTTGGGTCGGTGAGCCAAGGAATGGCAGATGGAGTTTAATTCAGATAAATGCGAGGTATTGCATTTTGGTAAGACAAACCAGGGCAGGACTTACATAGTTAATGGTAGAGCCCTGGAAAGAGCTTTGAACAGAGAGACCTAGGGGTGCAGGTACATAGTTCCTTGAAGGTAGCATCACAGGTAGACAGGGTAGTGAAGAAGCTATTTGGCACGCTTCTCTTCATCAGTCAGATAATTGAGTACAGGATAGACAAACAGGAAGCTGGAATTGGAGGAAAGGAGAAGGCAATGTTTCAGGTAAAGAAGGGTAATACCCGAAACATTGACTTCTCCTTTTCTTCAGATGCTGCCTGACTCGCTGTGTTCTTCCAGCCTCCTGTTTGTCCACCTTGGATTCAGCATGGGCAGTTTTTTGTCTCTAAATTGAGTACAGGAGTTGAGACATTGGTGAGGCCGTGTTTGGAGTACTGATTACAATTGGGGAGGCGATGGCCTAGTGGTATTATCACTGGACTGTTAATCCAAAGACCCAGATAATGTTCTGGGGACCTGGTTTGAATCCCACCATGGCAGATGGTAGGATTTGAATTCAATTTTTTAAAAAAATCTAATGATGACCATGAAACCATTGTTGATTGTCAGAAAACCCCATCTGGTTTACTAATGTCCTTTAGGGAAGGAAACTGCCACCCTTACTGGACTCCAGACCCAAGCAATGTGGTTGATTCTGAACTGCTCTCTTGGCAATTAGGGATGGACAATGAAAGCTGCCTGGCCAGTGATGCCCTCATCCCGTGAATGAATAAAGGAAAAAGAATTCTGGTCACTCTGCTATAAGAAAGATGTTATTAAATTGAAAAGGCTGCAGAAAGGGATATTACTAAGACTGAAAGGTTTGAGTTACAAGGGGAGGTTGGATAGACTGGGACTTTTTCCCTGGAGCATAAGAGGCTGAGGGGTGACCTTATAGAGGCTTATAAAACCAAGAGTGTGAACTTAAATTCATTCCACAGAATATCTCTAAGCATCTTCTGTCCAATGAATTACTTTTGAAGTGTAGTCATGTAGGAAACACAACAGCTAATTTCAGCACAGCACAATCCCACAAGCACTAATGTGATATTAACCAGATAATCTATTGTAGTAATATTCCTTGTGAATAAATATGGGATTCCTGAGGTAACTCTCTTGTTCTTCCAACAGATGCTGGGATTTTTATTGCCACCTGAGAGGGCAGGCTTATTGTCCCATCTGAAGTATGGTATCTCTCTGCATGAGGGATGATCAGGACATCTAACATACCTCCTAGATACCTCTTCACCCTTAGTCCTCTGTTAACTTTGCACATCTCAAGGCACATCATTACAAGAGTACGGGAAGTGAAAGTACAGACCCTTATCTCATCTCTTCTTTAGCTGTGCTTCACCCAGCACTAGCTCAGGGCTGTATTGGCATTTTCCTGTTGCCATGCTGAAGGGATTCTACACTAACAATGCCCAGCTTTATCACACCACCACATCTGTCAACCCCTCCACTGGCTCCAAATTCTCACCCCTGCATGTCTGATATCCGATACTGGATGCGCAGAAATTTCCACCAATATTTGGAAGAATAAAGTCCTTGCCTTTGTTCTCCACCACAAACTCCAGGCACCAGTCCATTCATTTTTCTGGGGCTGAGCTAGACTGCCTGCAAATTTCTATCTGGCTTTGAGACGAACTTCAGGGTCACACATCCAGGCCATCAGTAAGATTGCCTACCTTTGCCTTCCAAAGATTTCCTGATTCTGACACAGCCTAAATTAATCCAGTGCTGATATCATCAACCTCAACTTTTTTATCTCAAGACCTGATCCTTCCAATGCACTCCTGGTCAGTCTCCCCTGGTCCACCAAATCCATGTTTAAGATCATTCCAAACTCTGCAGCCATGTCCTAACTCACAGAAAGCCCCATCACCCCTTTTCGTTCTGACCTGCATTAATTCCCAGCCTGCAAAAACCTCTGATTTAAATTTTTCATCCTCATTTTTAAATACCTACATTTGTTCCTCCAAGTCTTGCCTTGTGTCCATCTTAAGCTATCTCCAAAACTCTGAAATTCACCCCCCTCCCAAACCTCTCTGTCTCTCCTTCCTCCTTCAAGATGCCCCTGAACAGTTAGGTTTTGGGTCAACTGCCCTAATATTTCCTAATGTGAATTAGCATGGGATATTTTACTCTGTTAAAGCCAATGCAACCAATAGTACTTGTTATGTGTATGATTCTGAATTTCAGTGCCATCTCCAAGTCTGAAATATGCTTCCTGAAGGCTGGAGCCCTGAGCTGAGCACAGTTCCTCTGGATGGAGTCTGATCAATGCTCAGTACTGCAGAATCATCACTTCCCCACTTTGTATTCCAGTCCTTTATAGGTACAGTTGAGCATTCATTTAGACTTTTATTTACCTTGTAATGTTTTTTGCTACCTGAATATCCTAATTCTGTGCAGTATTCTCTTGATTCTGGATATCTAGACTGTATTGTAATTTGTACTGTGTAGGTATAGGGTGGCACCGTGGCTCAGTGGTTAGCACTGCTGCCTCACAGTGCCAGGGGCCATGGTTCCATTCCACCCTCGGACGACTGTCTGTGTGGATTTCCTCTGGGTGTCCTGGTTTTGTCCTATAGTCTACAGATGTGCAACTTAGGTGGACTGGCCATGCTAAATTGTCCATAGTGTCCAGGGATGTGCAGGTTGGATGGGTTACCCATGGGAAATGGAGGGTTATAGGGGGTGGGTCTGGGTGGGTTGCTCTTCAGAGGGTTAGTGTGGGCTCTATGGGTTGAATGGCCTGCTTCCACACCGTAGGAATTCTATGATAATCTCACCCATGCCGGGGGCTTTATATTCACCACAGAGAGTCCTGTTTTGCCTTGTTTACACGTACCCTGTAAAAGTGACTGTGCTGAGGGACTGGAATGTCAATAATGATGGTTGTTGTTGCTTCATAATGGGATGAAAATACTGATTCTAATCTTGGGATGTTTGTGGGACCCATGCCCCGCTGTATGTGACTCACCAGTGTAACCTGGAACAAGTTTCTGTGGGTGGATCTGGTCTGACACATCGGGGGGACAGTGATTGCTGTATTCTGGCTGATAGTCAGGACCCCCAGTGGTAGGTGACAGGAGTGTGTGGTCAGCTCGAGCAGTTTTCGGATTCTTCAGGATATCATGGGTTATCCTCCCGTAAGTCTTACCGAAACGGAATGGGATTGTGTGGGCATATCCAGTATATCTGTAGGAGAGATACAAGCAAAACACATTTTGGAGTGCACTATGGACTTTACTCAACTGCTAGCGAATGCAAAAAATCAACTGTAGGCTGGTCCTTAATGACTGGGCATTTGATGGTAACTGTGTGATGCCCAGGGGACACTGGGCAGCTGCCACTCGCTCTGACAAGTGGTCGGCAACACTGTCCTATACCTGAGGTCTCTCCACAAACCCACCCCCACACTCTCCATCAATTGCATCACTTTGTGCATATTTCTGAGAACAGATTAGCTTCCTGGGAGGCACAGTGATACTCCGTGCAGAGACCCAGTCTCCTTCAGTTCTTTCATAATGGCCTCTCCCTCATCATGAGTCCGAAAGTGGATAAAAACTGCACAATGTTCAGCATTATTTGTGGCTTCTTGCATATCAAAACAGTCAGTGTTCAAATGCAGCAAGACCTGGACAATATTCAAGCTTGAGCAGATATGTGGTAAGTGACATTTGTGCCACACAAGTGCCAAACAATGACCATCTCCAGCAGGAGAGAACCTAACCATGACACCTCATAACATTTAATAGTATCACAATCACTGTAACCCCCACAAGATTGTGGCTGATCTGACATCAGAGAGAGCAAAACATAGAAGATATTTTTAAAAATGAGAATCTGGGTAAAAATGGTGAGTTTTAAGAATTAGGCTGAAGTGCAAAAGAGCGAGAGAGAGAGAGATAGACAGAGATTTTGGGATGGCATTCCAGAATCTAGGATGTAGACAATCGATGGTACAGCCCCAACATTGGAACAAAGTGAAATGGGGCTGTGTGAGGGGTTGCTAGAGGCAAAGGGAAACAGTGGGCTAAGGCAATGAAGAAGTTCCAACAGAAATGCAGATATTTTAAAATTACAGTAAGATGTAAGGTCAACAAGCATAAGATCAATGTGTGAGTGAGCTCAGATAGATGTAGTACAGCTTTAGATGAGCTGAAGTTTATAGAGGGCACAATATAGGACGACAGCAGAACAAGAAAATAGTTTCATCTGTAGATGACAAAGGCAAGAAGGAAGGTTTAAATAAATGATAGATGAAATGGACTATGGGGCAGTGGTAATGGAGATGATTTGGGCTGGAGCACAGGCAAAAGACTTGACAGGGATGGTTCAGTGAGGGCTTCTGATACAGTAAAGAATACTTTACTGGAAATCTGAAATCTAAGCAGAAAGTGTTTGAAATACTCAGCCAGTCAGGCATCCATGATGTAGTAACTCATTGTTACAGGGTAACTGGAGAATCTTGTTACATCCCTTCTTAAAATGCTCCTGTTGCTTGTCTGGGAATGTGACTTACCCAGGTATATAATGTGGTTCTGGGGTGAAGAGAATCTGTTTTTGAATATCCATCCTCTGGGTGCAGTCTCTGTTGCAAATTGCTGGATGTTCAGGAGCCTGAGGGCTATCTTACTGTCAGTGTAAAGCTGTTACTTAGCAACCAGCTTACAATACCCATGACAACAGCATTGGCACCTCTGCCAGTCAGCAGTCCTCAAACTGCTGCTTGATGCTGGGACAATCTTTGGGCATCAGGATACAATCCCTGCAGCAAACATGATGGGCTCATCAATCCCATTCCGGTCACACTGGCCAAAAGTGTTGGTAGATAGTAGTGGCAATATCCTAAATACACCACATGAGGTGGGCGGTTCAATATCCCGTAAGCCTGCTTATCGTGGGAAAGCCCCTCTCCATCCCCCTCGACACTACTGTTTCAAAGAGAAATACTTCCCCCATGGTAGCCAAGCCTTTCAATCTCTTCTAGCGCAATACCAAGCAAGAGCTATGATACAATCTGGACTGGAATGTGTGGGAGTACACATCCCAACCCCAGCAGAGAGGCAAGCTCTAGACCAAGGCCAGCAAGGATCTTCAGCAGCTGACGAGCCCCAGTCAGATGCTCAGGGAGGTCAAGGAACAGCAGCAAGTCAGGCCCCCGACAGCACTGAGGCAGGTCCAATGGGGAGCCAAGATCCAGAATTCCAGCAGAAATGCCCGTGTGAGCTGGTCACTAAGAAGTGCTGCCCGTGCAAACAACTTATGGAACGTGAATTAGCTAAAATGGCAGCATTGTGTCCGCAAGATGAGCAGGCGGTAGAATCAGTGGCCCCATCACCCGATGAACCATCAGAGAACTTAGAAGCTTCTTCTACCCAAGCAGAAGTAGAAACGTCACCTGAACCACCAGAGACCTTGG